AAGGAAGGTGGGTGTCAGCAAAACAATTCCCGAAAAGGATGTGGCCCCATCTGATTAACAGGAACAGCGTCTCGAGCAATGGACTGAACATTGAAGAACAGTTCAGTGAGCCCCCATCAACTCAGTCTATAGAAGTTCCATATGAAACCGAAAGGAACGTCGACACTAGTCCGCGATTGACAGCGGGTTGAACGCGCAATTTCTTTACTTCTTTACTCAATTTCGTTGCGCAACAAAGTACTGGGTCCAGACAGCTCGCATCTAGCACTCTTCAAAGAAGTTAGCAAAACCGTCGTGCCTAACCTCCAAAATATATGGAATGAGTGAAGGGTACCGATAGGATGGAGGGCCTCGATGGTGATTTCTATGTTAAAAAAAACCGTCAGGTCATCAGTATGCTTCCAAAGTGCTTTCTGTTATTACTTTACTAAGTTGGGCCTTTATCGGGAATCAAGCTTGATTTCGTCCTAGTGTGGATGGTTTCGATTACATATCCACTTTGCGACAAGTGTTGAAGCTCTACCACTCCTTCTGAGTCTCGATCTGGGATATGCTGTTGACGCCGCTGATCGTCAGAAACTGGCAGTTTTCGACGACAGTGTCCCTCCAAATTCTCATATCTTACAAGGGCTCTATATGCCTCCTTCCTGGGACGCCTGTGTCTACAGTACATTATCTTCTGAATTCCCATCCAGTGGTGTCAGATAGGCGTGTCGCCTGTCGCTGTTTCACTTCAGATTCGCACTCGATCGGCCCCTTGAATCTTCTTTACGTGCCTCTAACACGTTCCCTCACATTTTGAGTACCCCGTCGACATTGCTCCTGTTGCGTCAGACCCTTTGGAACTGGTAACTATTTTAAGTAACCTAAATGAGCCTTCTGTACAGTTCGGTATGCGCTTCGTGCCTGTACAGTCTAAAGTGTTGCTGCAAGGTTGAGCGCAATCGAACCCAAAAATTATGCTCGTAAGTGAACTGACCAATGCGGTAAATAAGTCCCGGTGAAGGACGATATTTATTACAGAATTGGGAAGGTCGGGGCGGAGTTTGGCAGCCTCCGACATTTGTGGCGCCTACGTGGTGTCTGCTTGGCAGAGTTGGTTCGAGATGGCCCGAGTTGTTAGAGCGCGAATTTACTGACCGGAAGGTCTGTAGTTCGAATCCGACCTCTGCCTCTCGCCTCACCCTATCTAGGCTTGGGCAACCTGGCAGTATCCCAGCCCTCGTGCAACCTCCGGGTGGCTTGGCAGTTAGGCGCCGAAACGGTGCTACAGCTGAACGATCTTAAGGGTAGAGCGTGGTTTCACCCAAGTGACAGACGATGGAGTGTGTTCGACCTTGCTCGCTCCGTATGTGGGTTTGCATAGCTCGCTGATCTCCGTAAATGGGTGTGATGTATTACGATCCTCATAGTTCGGAGAGCACTGATGTGCACGGAAATATATTAGCGTGCTTGGGAACCTTACCTTGTAAGTGAACTGGGAAACACGTTGTTTGAGATCACGGTTTGAAATTTTGCGCCCTTTTGGACGACGGGAATAGGAGGAGGGGGGAATAATTTCTCAGAAGCTGTTTGATGCATTTAGGCTGGAGTCCCCGGGTCCGTTTACTTTTCAGGGCATCCGTTCGTACGCAATACGTGCACTGCTCATCTGTTGTACTCACCACGAAAGTGGAGTAGACTGTCCCTTCACTGCATTCGTGTAAGACTTAGTGATGAACCAATGAATTATCGATGGGCAGGAAGACTGCTTAGACAGTAATGAGAGAGGCTCGTTGGGCTTCGTGCCCTCGGCAGTCCGAGCACTGTTCGACATGAATTTATCGCGAGTGAACGGGTCCCTTGAAAACTTCAGAATGGCACGGCGAATCAAAATCTGGCGCACCAAACAGTTCTTGAGAGAGGACACAGCGGACCTGTTGCATCAGGACGTTACTAGACAACATTATCTATGTCAAACCCACCACAACCAGCCTCCCATATTCATCGTTTCCTTGTGGGGTCAATATCTCTTCAACTTTACTGTGATCCGGGTTTTGGTTTTTACTGCCACCGCTTCTTTCGTCAGTCACTGTATCTTCGGGTCTCCCATTCCTGCTTCTATCTTTTTCAGGGTTCAGCTACACTATCTATGGCCTATGCCGGTGTTCGCTTCGTCACATCGCTCATGGAGGCGATGAATGGACGGAAGGGAGTAGTGGAGTGTACATTTGTCCATGGCGAGGTCTCCGAATGCGAGTTCTTTGCAGCTCCAATCGCACTTGGGGTAAGTGAAGTTAGCCATTTTCATTTTGGATTCAACCTGTCAACTGTTTTGTACACGTATTCTTTGATCAGTGCTCGGACACAATATTCCGCTCACAAAGAAGCATTTCTCTTGAACGAAGGCGATTCCAAGCGGCCTTCAAAATGACTCAACAGTTAAGATGTGGAGCTACTGACGGGAAAGTCCGTGGTTCAAACTCAGCACTGACTTTCTGGTTGCCTCTGTCTAGACCTGGGCAACCGGGCGCTATCCCATCCGTCAGTTCTTTCTCGCATCGTGATACTGAAAAGTTGTCACAGCTGAATGTTAACTGCTCTCAGTACTATTGCGGATCCCCATGGTTCTCCGAAGTAATTGAATTACCAAGTAAAAAATAATAGTAATCGGCGGTGCATAGCTGCCTTGCAACCCGAAGGTAGAACGAGGGCGGAAATACTGCCAAATTGCCCTAGCCTAGACAGGCAGTCGAGTTACTAGGGACGGGTTCGAACCACACACCTCCCGATCCATAAATTCGCGCCTAATCACCTCAACGACAACCTTGCAACCGGTAGAACGAGGGCGGAAATACTGCCAAATTGCCCTAGCCTAGACAGGCAGTCGAGTTACTAGGGACGGGTTCGAACCACACACCTCCCGATCCATAAATTCCCGCCTAATCACCTCAACGACAACCGTCTTCATTCGTGACCAGCCGTTGAGTACGGGAAAGCTCGTTGCACCATCGCACGGCACCAACTTGATGTAACCGACAGTTAGCCTTTTGTGACAGTTTGGGACGTACCAAACATTCCAGTGTAATCACTCATCCATTTAGATTCAAGTAACAGGAACTACAGGCTCTCCATTTTCAGCTCGATGGCGTATTGTGCAACTTACATGTGTGGAAAACGACTGACGACCCGGTGCGTCCATTTGAACAAAATATGACAAAAGGTGTTTAGAACACTGAAGTTTTTTAGAAAATGCAGAGCAATAGAGGTAAGGACTCATGTTGATTCGTTTTATGTGATTGCGGGATTTGTAGAATCCACATCACTTTTTTGAACAATCCTCCTGTCCTGGTGCCATTCTTGTCGGCCCACATCAAAGTGGAGAAGCACGGGTTTCGAGTTTCACCCGTATTAGAACTCATCATGTGTGCATATCTTTGACCCTGCCGGGATTTGAACCCCGGACATTTGATTTGTGAGGCGAGCGTGTTACCACTACTCGACCTGCACACGATGGACGTAATTGGATTATCACAGCCGAACAGGCAGATGTGTTCACTCTTGAACTGTGTGATTGGTTTGACGGGCGCCTCACATTGACTGCCCTTTCCAAGCGAAGGAGACGCTTCTGCTACTGTGCCCCACTCGAGAAAGCAACTCTAGATGGCAGTAAAATGAAACAGTTCTTCGATAGAAGTGCTTTGTCCTCGGAGGTCTGACCTTCAACAGTCATACCATACGCTTTTACTGGTTTAGTGAAATTCCGCTTGTGTTTCAGCAGCGGTTTGTTCAAGCGAAGTTTGGCTACTTTGCATCTGAAGCGAGTGTTTTAGGTGTTCAATGCACACCCGTGACAGCTGTAAGAACCGCGTGGCTTGGATTTACGAAGGCCACCTCCTTACATAGACATTTTAGCCCTATGCAATGGTCAGCGTCAGCACCAATATTTCTGTTTATGAAGGTCTCGTGACTGGCTTGTTCAAATGTTCTGGTACATCTTACCCCAAAGTTATATTTTACTGGTTCGCTACCTGTCATCCTTTCATGTGTCACAATCAGCCTCCGGTCCTCGTGAAGAGGAATCATCGGTTCCATCTGGTTCACCGCTATTGTGCTCACGGTGTTGCAAACTATACTACCATTGAGAGCTTCATCACCCGGTTCGTGACATGGTTGTCGTAACCCAACAGCTTGATGTGCGTCCTCCGTAACTCGCATTACGTCACCCGCAGACGACCGCGCGTGGTATATATCGCTCGTTTATTGGGCAGCACTGTGCTAGGGCCTGTTGATTTCAAACCCTCAGATTTAGGCTACGGACAATTGTTTTTTCGATCGCCTCCCCCCCAATTCTCATTTTGTTTTATAAATAGCCTGGCCATTATCAGAGATTCCAATGCAGGTTCGCCTCCAGTCGAGGAAGACCAATCTCTTCTTGGAGACTACATAACGGGGTTCCTATTCCACCGCCATACACTATATAACCCTGAGCTGAATTGAAGCCACCAATCAGTCTGAACAACCGTCTGTCGTGCACTACACTTTCCAAATTTTATTTCTTCCTCAATTTCAGGTGAACGGAGTGGAAAAGAATATGGGGATCGGCAAGCTGAACGAATATGAGATACAACTTCTCCAAAAGCTCATTCCAGAGTTGCAAAAGAACATCAAGCGGGGCAAGGAATTTGCCGCCACATTCAAACCCCAGTAAACCAACCGGGTGTCGGCAGTCCTACGATCCACCCACGCGCACTTTCTGTGGACTTGTTTTCATTTGTCATATATATACATATAAATATAGACCAACGTTTCAGACATTTAGCCAATCCCCACAGCTGTCGTAATGATTGCATGAGATTTATCGAGCATTTTAGTTGTTGCAATTTCTACGCTGCCGCTACCAATACAATCGATAAGAATTCGCCATGAACGAGCGGTTGTTTGGCACTGTGCTTCGATTGTCGTGTCAGGCTTTATAAGGCTTTATCTTCTGTTAAATGACTTCACTCGTGCGCATACTACGACGGCACTGTATGCATTTTCTTACTGTCGATTTTTTGCCACGTATGTCCTGCGTCGAATCGTTAATATATGGTGGAAGAAATTTCTTTCTCTGACCGACCGATGTTTTGTCCCCTCCACACCGAGCCTTCCGAACTTGACCCGCAGTGGCCTTCACTAAGAAGTAAATGAACTGTCCTCCAAATAGTCTCAGTTGCACATCAATTTGTTCTCAACGGAAGACTCAACTGAATCGCAGCTGAAACTCTCGTTTATGATATTGTCTAATTGAATGTGTTGCACGAAATCCATCTCGTGTTGTTTGATTTGGTGCAGTATTTGGAGTATCGCGGGCGAGATGGACCAAGTGGTTAGAGCGTGAATTTACTGACCGGAAGGTCCGTGGTTCAAACCCGACCTCTGCCTCTCGACCTCCCCTGTCTAGGCTTGGGCAACTTGGCAGTATCCCAGCCCTCGTACCTCCTTCGTTTGGCATGGCAGCTAGGCACCGAAAGGGTGCTACAGCTGAACGCTTTTGAGTATCTTAGTGTACGTTCTTTTTTGGGGGAGCTACTCACATAGCTTCTGAAAACTCTTCGATAGCTGGAGATAGCTCAGTATCTAAAGCGGGGATCTACTGATCGGAAAGTCTGTGATTCGAACTTAATCCCAGCATCTTTCATGATGGGCGAGATGGCTCAGTGCGCGAAGGTATGTGGTTCGAACCCGACCTCTGCCTCTTAATATTCCCTGTCTAAGCTTCGGCAACCTGACACCATCCCAACCCTCGTGCTTCCTTCTGGTGGTATGGCAGCTGGTCACCGAAAAGGTGCTTCATCAAGAAAACGTATGAGCTATCGTTCTGTGACTGCAATAAACGTAAATGGTATGTCATGGCGGAGGGGGATCCTGCTCTGCTCCTACAGGCTAAATTTTTTTCTCCAGTAACTTTCAGTCCGCCGTCGCTACACTGGTAAGTTGTCTTGAAAGGCTCGCTAAACCAGGTGATGGTAAGCAGATGAAGACATATTTGAGCTGCTGAGACCAACCTTCTGTAATAGACCCGACTATGAAAGGTAATATCCGTGCAAAACCCACGGATGTTCTCCTCGAACAAAACTGGCTGCGATAGGGACTTGGTGTGGAATCCTACTTATCTGAGCTCTTGTGTAGTTGAACGGTTCCAGGGCATATAATCAAAGTAGAATGAATGCCGAGCTGCACCAACTCCATCCTAACAAAACCTACTTTGTGGGGCCACCCAGATGTCAGTTGGCTGTTGTGCACTGAAGACGTCAAGACTTTGAGTGTTTGACCATCGATGTTTCGGAGCATTGTTCGAGTCTGCTGGGAACACCGGATCAGCAATGCTGAAGTATTTTAGGGAGAAATAACTCACCCTCGATAGATGAACTGATCGCACTGCATAGGTTGCGCTGGCTTGGCCACGTGCTCCGTATGCCATCGACTAACTTCCTCGAAGAGTTTCGCGCAACCAAGTAAAGGGTGGAACAGAGCCAGAGACGGCCAAACAATGACTTGGCAACGGAGTATATAAGCCATTACCGGCAAACTCAGCTGCGCTGGTCATCGCCGTCTTCCTGGCTGGGGACCCCGAGACGGGCCACATCAATGGTTGAAGACATTGTCAGACATTGCCCACTCGTGCATCCAACCTATTGGCTTCAATGCATAGCTCCCTTCCCTATTTCCCCACTTGACAGTCCACGGACTGCTGTACTTATGCACGAATTTTTCAGCTCCTGCCTCCAATGCACAGCTACCTACCCCACCCCGAATCATCGGTGAACGAAACTGTGGCGGCTACAACCACTGTACGATAAGTGCGCGGTTCTTACAGCTGACAATGATGATGATGTTGACCAAGATGTCAGATAGTCCAGAAATCTCCCTTCCAAAGAATGCCGATAACATCTAGTCTTCCGCAATGTTGCTGAACGGATAGCACTAGCCTGGAAATCTAGCAGGAAGCACCTTTTTCGACAGGTGGTCTATATTAATCCGTAGCGTTCACTAACTAGAGTTGACATGTTTAGCCTCTTCGATTGGCCAGTTTATCGACAGTCAACTCTTCGCCATTGTGTATTCTAGACCGAAACTCTTACCAGCAATTGCTGGTCCGTGACGTTCAACGATTGGCTGCATCTCTGAAATGAGTTTCCATAGATTAGACTTCTGTACAGAGGTCAATAGCTGCATCTCATAGCAAATCGACGTGTTGACTCCATCTTAGGTGCTGGAAACGGCAGAATAAATCATGGAGCAAAGCGTATCCCTGCGGAAGTCACCTAGCAGCCTGGTTTTCCGAAGTGCATCGGATGACCCTCAGAAATATGAGGACACTGAGAGTTTGAGTCTCTGGTGTCACGTCGTCGCTGGAACGACTATCCTGCGACAATGACAGCCCACACTAAACTATCCGTTTGAAAAATCTCGCGGATTACTTGTCAGTCGCTGGAATCCCCAGTGGTCGACAAGCCCGGGCTTTCGCCCTTCTCTCGTCTGCATAGTGGTTGCTGTGCACGTTTCACGACCGGAAGCATAGGGAAAAGAGTAGAAAATACTCACGAATCACTCGACTGTGCCGTGTGGGTTCGCAAATTGGATTTAGAGGATTGGTTTTCTGTCGCTTTGGTGGGCTTCTTGGCCGAGTCGCTACGCCAGACAACGTACACTTTTGAATCACTCTCCTCTGGGATTCAGTCACCTATTCCAATCCGGATCACAGTCGCGTCACCTGGGTACCAACGTCTAAGAGAAATTAACTGCGCAGTGCGAACGTGTAGGGCGTTGGTCCTGGATGGGGCAGTTGATGTTGTCTAGTTTTGTCAAACAACACAGCACTGAAAATTGGCTGAACCTAGCTCGATCGATAATGTACCGATGTACACATCCAACCTGCTTTTTGATGTTACAACACCAACGTCTTATGTGCATTCTTGAGCACTGGTGCATAGTAAACTGGGTTGATTTCAGCGCCTGGTTGAACCCGTCATCAGAGAATCAAAGCGGGTTTACTAGCTAGCGTGTAATTGAGTAATGTAGCCTTTGGGTGTATCATTACTTTATTTCGAGAGAAACGATTGTTTTATCCATAGTTGAATGGTTTTATTAGTGATCCACTGAACTGGCAGACCAACCATTTGTAAAAATAGCAGACTACCGTAGCAGCAAGCCATCCCGTTGTTCTGCTTCAGTTTCTTGCGGGACAGCCAGACTAATCTATCGATCGCCGTTTGCTACAGAAGAAAAATCGATACCAACACGTGTTTCGGACTGGGACTGAAGTCAACGGTCAATTGTTACCAGTCGTATGTGGTAGTATCGTATGGTTGCTTTAGGGGTCGTTATCGAAGCGGCTGTCGCTGTGGTTTGAGACGGTAATTCTTCACGACGGTCTGAGGTATGTACGTGCCGCGGTGTTAGACACAACTACTGTAGACTTAGTGACAGACAAGGGTATGTCTGCCTGTGTGTGTGTGTGTCGGTCCGCCTTTCTCACCTTTGGTCAGACAATACGAAGCTTTTCAATGGTAATTTCGTCCTGTAAGTGAATCCAGTCTATTCTTAAAAGCCGTTTTCGCGTGGGCTGGCTTCACCTGAGGGACGCGACCCCCATGACTTAAATTGAAACTGTTTCTAGGCACCGAACTATGGGCCAGTATCTTCTGAATCGAGTCTTTCATCATCTTAGCGGACTGTGCTCACAATTTTGGATGCGTTGGATCTAAACTCGATTTTAATGATTTGGGTAAGGTGTTATACTTCTATTGTAACGTTGGATGCTAATGATGAAGCACGCGAGTAGTCTGTTTTCTCGTAAATCCACTTCACATATCTTGCAGAGTGAGGTCTATTACGGAATTTTGTTAGTCGCTTTGTAGCATTTGCTTGCATTTGAGTAGCAGTCAGTGAATATCCAGGAAAGTTCAGAAAGACGCGTTCAAGGAGAACTTGAATGTTCAGTTTTTGTAAACAGGATGCCTAATCGAGTTTTGCTTCCCTGTCCAATAGTCTGTAACTGTTCATTTGGTCTTTCTTCAATGAACAACTAAGCAGCGAAGGCCTTCGTCCTTTCACCATGTCCTATCCAAAATGGAGGTCGAGTTTTACCACATTCTCACTGCGGTTTACACTAGAGCAGTGAGTGTATCTGACAAACTCGCAATCATTAGGGCTTAAGAGAGAAATACAGCAGCGAAGACCCAGGATGAAGTTTGTCCAATAGATTATGGGGTCTGCGGGATTCGCGGAGTGTGTCTTCACCTGAACAATCCATCAACCATTCTAACTCATTGAATGGTCCTAACAAGCCGGGAAAGTACTGGACCTAATTTTCTCTCCTACCCGTTCGCATGACACACGTTCTTAGCCGTACCCTGGCTATCTGTCATGCGAGGCGAGCGTGTCAACACTATTTCACAAGCATCTGAATATCTATGAAACCGTTCGTGCTTCAGTGTTGCGACTTGTCTGGCCAATGCCTCCAAAGACAATCCAAAAACGTTGGAGTGTGCTGATGTTCTCAGGTCAGTTGCGACCCTGGTATTTCGGTGACATTGGTCTAATCCAACCTAACATAACCGATTCCTGCTCGTGAGAATTTCAAAGTAGTACTACAAAACCGGTCAACAAAATGGCTGGTGTTGAGTCGACTTGTGGTGGCACAGTACGTGCTCGGAACAGAGGGCACGAGTTAAGTCATCATATATGAAAAGACGGTGAACCAATTACGAATTTTTTAGTTCAGTTTTGAATATGTCGCTATCATTCATGAATGTTGATTTGGTATTCTCGGTGCAAGGCTCAGGGGACTCATTTGTTGTCTATTTCAGCTATTCCGATTTCGATAGACGGCCAAAAGGGGGGAGGAAGTTCAGATTCCTGAAAGTAACCTCAGAACGCCCGAAACCTACTGCTCCAGAAAAATCTCAACAGGGCGGAA